TAAATGAATGAATGAGCTATAGTCCAACAAAATTTGATTTACAAAAGTGACAGTGGGCTAGATTTGGCCTGTGGGCCAGAGTTTGCCAGCCCCTGGTTTAGAATGTAACAAGAGAGAGAGTCTTTCTGTGCTGTGGTATAGCATATTAGTTAAGAGCATGGGTCTGAAACCAGAATACTAGGTTCAAGTCCCAACTTTACTGCATATCATCTCTTACCTTTTTCTGTGGCTTAGCTTCCTTATTTGTAAAATGGGGATAATAGTAGTGAACACCATAAGACTGCAGTAAGGAATTAAATAAATTCATGTTTGCAATGCACTTAAAACAGTGTCTGACACATAAGCAATAAGTGTTTATGTTAATGCCTCTGCCTTTTCTTCAGACATGTTTGAAGGAGTCAGATGGCAGTGATACAGAAGATTTTGGCTCTGATCACAGTGAAGACTGCCTTTCAGAAGCAAGCTGGGAACCTGTTGATAAGAAGGAGACTGAGGTATGTCTAGGCAAATATGTGGTGGGTACTTATGCCAGCCAGTGAGTTACCACATTTCCCATTGTAGACTGAGTTCCCCACCAGATGAGTTTCCCACCAGATGAGTGTCATCCATAAGAGCAAGTAGTAGCCAGTTATGAAGATGAGCCTTGTCATTTTCTCCCGGGATACTTTCCTTGCTGTTGAATTGCTCTTCCATTCTGTTGACAAGGACCTGCAATTTTTCCTTGTGCCTTCTGTTAGGTGACTCGCTGGGTTCCAGACCATATGGCATCACACTGCTATAACTGTGACTGTGAATTCTGGTTGGCCAAACGAAGACACCATTGCAGGTAAGATGTTTTGTATGATTCAGTATGACTCATATAGCAGTGCAGTACATTACATATGTATAGAAGTTGAGTTAATCAATGGAGACATCTTTATAGGCACTGTTTTTGCTCCCAGCTCTTCCCTTCATTTACTCATGGAAATCCTTCTAAACTGTCATTCATTCTTAGTATAGCAGCATTCCTGATTAACTCTCCCCCTCTTTGTGCTTTGGCAGAAATTGTGGGAATGTATTTTGTGCTGGATGCTGCCACCTAAAGCTGCCCATTCCTGATCAACAACTCTATGACCCAGTTCTCGTCTGTAACTCATGTTACGAACACATTCAAGTATCTCGTGCCAGGGAACTCATGAGCCAACATCTGAAGAAACCCATCGCTACAGCTTCCAGTTGAATGTCAGGGAAGATGACCTGTCCAATTTTAGCAGGTTTGAGGGAGGATCTGCTTCAGGTGTAGTTTGGAAGGTGTGGCTCATGAAAACACAGAGCTCAAAGATACCATCTTGAGAAATCCTTCTTGGTACCATGAAACTGGAGCAGAGGAATTCCAATTTGGCAGGAGGTCCTCTACTGGTGAGACCCTCACCTTGGGGTCATGGTCCTAATCCAGACCCAGAGTCTGGAAGCTTAACGTTGAGTTGGTGACTCCAGTTTCTTTCTCCTGGAGGTCATAAGATGATGATTTCATAGATACTGCCTGGTGCAAAGTGCCCCAAACAGCAATAGAAAGGCATATGTATAACCAAACTCCAAGTGATAACCAGACCATCTCTCCTCCACCTTGAAAAAAGCAGATTATAGTATACAAGATAGGAATTCCTGTCCTATTTGAGATGAACTATATCCTGTACCTCTGTGCTCTGTGTCTGTGCATGAAGGCTCAGTCTTTAGAGGCACTCCCTCTAGTTGCATTAGTACTGTCTTTCTGTGGAGTTTGGTTTAAAGACTGGTTCAGCAAGTGGAGGTTTCTATGTATTTTTCACTCGGCTCATAGGCCAGCATCAGTGAATATTCAGTTTAGGGGGACAGTTCTAGGGTGTGAGACATTTTTGGGAACAGAGGAAAATTCTGCTGTTCAGTCCTGGCAAAAATCAGTTATTCTGAGATCTGAAAGCAGTTGTCTCTGTTACACAGTGGCAGCTCTTGAGGCATGCCCTATGAAGAATGAGAAGGGAAAAGCAAAAATTACCCTTGTGAAATATCTGCTGATTGTGCCCTACCCTTTGCGCCTGACTTTTCCTAGTTGTCCTGGTGCTAACACAGGAGCTACACCTTGATCCTCTCCTGGCATGAAAGTAAAACAAAGGTTTTTGTTGTTGTTCCATGGCCCACTTCCCCCATGTTGTCTTTCCCTTGGCTGCTGCCTCCTCTGGGTCACACCGCTTCGTATCCTGAACACTTGACACCTTGAGGGTAGAATTTAGCATTTGGTTTTTACCTCCTAGAATATGCTGTTTGGTATGTGAGGGTTTCAGTACAAATGCTGCTGTCTATTTCTGTGCACTTAACAATGGAACCCAAACAGAAGAGAATAAAGCCTTGATACCAAAATTGGGAGAGAAAATGTGTCCATTTGGACCAAGCATTGTTGGTTTTTTGTTTTTTTTTTCTTCTTCTTAATATGTACCAGTGGCACTTAACCAAAAGATACAGTGATATAGCCATGTACTGTGGTTGGACAGATACAGTCTCCTTGACCTATAATGAAACCACTAGGACTTCCTTTATACATTTTCCTTGATTTGTTGATGTATAAAATTTTAAATTACATTTAGGCTTATCCTGTTTTAAAACGATGGTAGTCATCTTTTTCACTGCTACTTTCATGTTGCTTTCTAGAAAAAAAGTTTTTTTATTCCAAAATAACTAAGATCTGCATTTAGAACAAGAATTGTTATTTGTCCTGACCTTTTTTTCTTCAGTCCTACGGAGAAGCATCTGTGGTTCTTTTATACTTGCCATGGATGTAACCTAAAAAGTCTTGACATATTTAGGTCAGCCTAGCAGAACTTTTTTTTCATTTAAGTGGAGCTGAATAATGGAGATTTTGTGTCTGCGAAATTCCTGAGATCATTGAAAAAGTAACCAACTATTTCTTGTCTCTGATACATAAAATTCTTTTCAGCATTTTCTCAATCATTAGAATTTACTGCCAGTTGTGAGTGACTTTTTAATTACCTTGACTTTTATTGCACTTCACTCCGCCTGTTTTCAGGGGGAGTAAGATTGGAAACATTTGGGGAGACTGTATCTACTTTGTGTGGCTGTTTTGAAGGACTGTCCCATCAGCGAACAAACTGCATGGCCTTGGAGAGAGACTCTGGGCTCTTGGCTCAGATATGTTCATCAAATACTCCTTTCAGAGCTGTTGTGGGTGTAAGTGACATGATGTGGCCAAAAATCTAAACTGTGCAGTTGCGTTGTGACAAACATGCAATGTGCTGTAAAAAAACTCAATACAGTTTAAATAAAATCTCTATATTAGTGCTGCTTTGTTGGGTGTTTTTATTCATTTTTATTCCTGAGAAAACTTAATACTAACTTTTCCTTTGACCACGAGAAAATACGAAAACATACCTCTTCCGCCCAACAATTTCCATTTTAAAAAATGGACCCCTCTTTTTTAATCAGCACAGCTCTTTTTATATTCTTATTTATTGATTGGCTAGGGATTTTTTCCTAGGTATTCTGTAGAATTCTATCCCATCTCAGAAGAGGTTTATTTCTCTTGAATGTCTAAAATGTCACTAGTGGGTTGAGCAGCACCCGGGAAAGTACCTATGTTCTCGTGAGCCCTTCTCCCAGGCACCTGGGCTGTCATCTAACCTTGAGAAAAGTGTCCCAAGCAAAATACTGGCTGAAAAGAGTATTTTTAAATTGCTACTATCGCTTACTCAAGAGGCTGTACCTCCACCACCATCATTTTTATTTGGAGAGACGAACAGCCAACTGTTAGTAAGGATTAGAGTCGGGCCTTTGTTCTCAAGAATGACCGCCACCCCGTGCATTCGAAGTCCCCACACGCTGGCTGTGCCGAAATACACGCATCTGGGTGTTCCACGGTGCATAACTGGGCTTCTCCCTTTGCAGGACGTAGAACTCCCCAGCGGGCAGGCTTCCCGGCGGGCAGGCTTCCCGGCCTGAAGTT